TGAGATTGGAAGTATTAGCTCAGAGTCAACACTAAAAAAAAAAAACAAAAAAAAACAAAAAAAAAAATTTCTATTGCAGCTGGCACTAGATAAAGAAAAAAGAAAGGTGGTCCCTGCTCCCCACTAATCAATTTCTGACCTGTACTCCTTCAGTGTCATTTATTTTGCCACACATACAATGGTACATGCCTGTAAGCTTCTTTGGCTATTTAGTTTAATCTGCTCTAGACACCATTTCTTGCATCCCTGCACTTGAAACCGAATGATCTGAATGCTGAAAGTTAACTTGCTAGAAAGTTGGCATACAATTTCTCCTAATTTTTCTTTATTTCCTCCGAATAAATAATAACAAAGGAGTCCAATGAGAATCAATGATGACCCGAACTTAGCACAGCTCGGTGCCTTATGCAGGTTGATATGGTTACAATGGTTTGCGCTGTGTCACAGCAACCCTCTTTTCCTACTCCTACAATCCCAGGGCACCCAAGTGTGCGACATTTGGGGAGGGAAAGCAGGACATAGGGGATGCCAGATAATACCAGCTAGTACTGAGTTATGAACTAACTTCAGGTCCCTCTCTCCAGATTTTTAGAAGCTGGTTTGAATTCAGAGTTGCTCTTCTCCTAGACCAGTTACCACTAAAGCCTTATGCAGGTTGATATGGGATGTATGATATACCACTGAAGCCTATAAGGCCCAGCCTATCCTGCTATATATAGCTAGGGGAAGAAGAGATGGATTCACACCTTTCATAAGGGTATTAGCACATAAGTGAATGCAATGAACTTGACTGCAATTTGAACTCAGCAATCCAATTTCTCAATCCTAAACACAATCCCTTACTCTACTGTGATTCTATATATATATATCATTATCATTTGACCATAGTCAGGCTCATTGAGCCAATGAAAACGGTCCTTTCTTTAGCTGTATAGTATGTACTATGCCAGGGCTACTTACAGTTTTGAATTCAGCATTACTTTCTTCTAGACCGGCTGCCACCCAAGGTTATAGAACCCTGTCTGTCCTGCTATTTACCTATAGGTGGGGGAAAAGAAGAAGAGCATTCATACCTTTCCCAAGTGTATTAGCATGTAAGTGAATGTAATGGATCTGGCTGGAATTTGAACTCGGCTCTCTGATTCCTCAATCCAGGTTGTTATCCATTACTCCACCGTGCCTCCAAAAAATATATATATTATCTATATATTACAAAAGAAGAGAAATCCAAATTTACCTTATTTAAATAGCTATTTCAACCAGCAAGTCCTATGTTAACATTGTCAACTCACAAGTAGTATTATATATATATATATATATATATATATATATATATATATATATATATATATAAAATCGACTCTCCCGTCGAGATTCGATGTATGAGGGTCAAGCAGATCAGTTTCCAGGAAACCGACAGCCCAACACCGGCACATGAGATTTGATTATAGTAGTGAAGGCCTCATGCAGGACCATCCACACTTTTTGATATATATATATATATATATATATATATATATATTATCACTTATAAGGCACTATTCAGCTTTGCTTGATTGACAAGACTTTTTGTAGCTAAGTCAGTCTAAAGCATGCTGGATCTAATGACAGTTTCTCCTGGCAAGGGAGATGAAGTTTCAATTCCTACCAGAGTGTTCATCTTTTTCTTTCATAAGAATTCTTGAATATTCAGGACAGTAGATGAAAATAAATAAATATACTGTTTAATAAACAAACGGAGCATCTATACAAATATGAGTATCCAGTAAATATAATGTTTAATGTGATAAAATCTGTCAGAATACTAAATAAAAAATCAATTATTTCTTTATATGTTTTGTGTTCATGTCACATACACAAATAGCCGAAGATAAAGATTCTGAGAATTCTTCATCAAAGAGATAATTTCAATTCTTTAAATGAACTTTAATTTTAAATCGCAAATTTACAATTCAGAAATTTGTATTTGCATTTATCTTTTTCATCTTAATGTTTTCTAGATTATCAATCAACTCTAATTGTACTGGAAAATTTGCCATTCCCTAGTTTGGTAATCTAATGGCTATTTATTCACACAGTGAGAAACAAAACCCACTGTCTATGGCCTGTGAGATGTTCCAGTTTGCTACAGGTTTGGTTTATTTTGTTTAACAGCATATCAAACTCAATGGGTTTTTTAATGCCAACATTTTTAGGATAGATTCATATGAACAGAATACGTATTCTTTGGTTTAGATTGCTTTGGTTTATTTTGTTTTACGTCATATCAACCTCAATGGGTTATTTAATGCCGACATTTTTAGGATAGATTCATATGAATACAATATGTATTCTCTGGTTTAGATTGGTTTGATTTATTTTGTTTTACGGTATATCAACAACAATGCTGACAAAAATTTTTTATTGCTGGTAATATTTTGTTTTGTCAAAAATTTGTTTCTGGTAATATATTTCCTTCAAAATTGTATTGCTGGTGATAATTTTTTTCAACAAGTATTGC